TGAGACAATTTGCAATTCAGAATTTTTACAACTCAGAATTTTGCACTGTTCACCCTGTCTAAGGAATAAAAGGAGGTAAATTACAGCTTTGTTGGAAAGAAGTCTAAGTGAGAGTGTTAGACTATGGAAATCAGGTAAAATGATGTATTAAAGAGCTGTAGTATTTGTTGTACCTAAGCTAAAGATTTTTTAGATCTGAGTATCTCCACACAGTGTTCAGCTCTCTGCTGTGCCTTTTAGATACACACACTGTGTGAAAGTGCAGCCTTGGAAACTTAAACTGGGTGAAAACTTCCCTGGTGCACCAAAGTGAAGCTTTCACTGACATTTATTTTTGTCCCTCACTGATTCATTCACCATATTGCCAGTTCTGGAGCCAACACTTTTTATCGGTTTCTGTCTTTGCTCTTCATCCCAGAAACTCAGTAAAGTATTTTATATATATATATACATATATATATATATATATATATATATATATATGTACATATATATATCCAACTGTTTATTAACAGTTGGATATTTGGATTCAAAGTTCCAACATATTTAGACTGGGTTTTTACTTATTTCTGCTTCTTAGATTGTTGATTAAGAAAAGAAACCATCGCCCCAACTTCTGTTTAAAAACTTCATGGGCCCTTGCAGGGGTTAATTGCTTTTTTCCATATTTAAGGCTTCCTATGTATGTAAGTCACCATCCTAACTTTCACAGGAAACCTGGAAGACACCTGGTTACTTTTCTCAGGACCATTGAGTCTGATGAACTCATTATCCTACTGAGAGGAGATGGATCACTCTGCCTTGGAAGCTTTCTGTAGGTTTACTTTTCGAAGCACGGGCAGCGTGCTCTTGACAGGTACAATTAGCAGGAGAAAGTGGCCTCTCCATTGCTTGGGAATTAGAATTCAGTGTGTATGTATCTCAGAGTGGTACCTGAAGTCTCAAAGCTCCTCCATTATTTCTTAAATACTGTCTGAGAGGGAGAGGAACATGGTGATAATTCTTACCTGTGGAAACAATGAGTTTCATTCAACTCCCACCCTTTGTCTGTCTTTAATTTCTGGGGAGAAAGGGTTTGTGACATAAAGCTGCTTACCTGTAGCCATTTAACTCAAGAGATATGATCTTTAATTCTTCAGTGGTCTATTGTTCAGAGGCTTTTAGTATAGCTGAGCAAAAATCTACAAGCCAAGATGAATTTAAAATTTCCTGTTATCTGTTAGCTAAAAATACAAGGACGCTTGAAAGCTCTCAAATGTGTAAGTGCTGAAGTGAAACTCACCTTCTGTTTGTTTTTAACCTTCAACTCCCTGTAATAAATTTGTCTGGAAGACCAACTGAGGAAGCACTGATTGTATGTAAAGTTCACCGTGAGCGTTTAGTACCAGGCTCCAAAGTCATTCTGTATGTCTAGAAATTTAATGTACCAAATGCTTCTCTATAATTTCTACCTAAAAGGGTGTATGGATTATTTTAAAATCTTTTAGCCCCAGACTAAAGAATAGTTCCAAAAGGGTTAGAATAGCTTGTGATGCAGAGCCCTTTAAACTAACCGCTTGGAATTTTTTTGATACAGTAGTTAATAATTTTATTTGAATTACTGTTTGGGCGGTTTTTTTGGGGTTTTTTTTGTTGTTTGTTTGTTTGTTTGGGTTTTTTTGTTGTTTTTTTTTGCCAAAGTCTGTCTGAATGCTGTCATTATACAGAAATGGCTAAAATTTCTTTATTGACAGAAGCCTTTTCTATCCATAACTTCCCAAATTTCCTGCTCAAGTGATATGCATAACCAAGATCCCTGAATATGCCTTTGAAAAATCTGTGCTTTTTAAATAAAGAATTTGGCTGCATTCAAATGCATTTATTTCTAGAAAATTGACTAATAATACCACGAAGATCACTCTACATCATTTTTATTAGCATAGCTTTCCAGGACATTCTGTGCCTCTATATGAGGATGTCTTGGTTTAATTAACACTGCTGTGAGGCATAGTACTGTGGGAAAAAAACAAGACATTCTTGTTTAATAATTAATTTGCATATCAATTACCTGCAGAATGGAAGCTTTCGTGTTGTACCCTTACTAATTATGTCATATGGGTTTTCTGGACTCAAGATCTGTTTGAGGGAGAAGCAGTTCACATAATATTTTATTCTGCTTTCTTCATTTCTATTTACATTTTTTTTCATATAATTTATGCAATGTAATAGCTTAAGGTATGTTTCTGTCCGAAAAACAAGATTGACCAAATATAGATTCTGAAGCCAAATGAATAGTTCTCCAAGGTATTTCTCTGTGACTAATACAAGAGAATTTGCTGTACTGGGTTGTATGGACAGCTGTTGCAACATTTGTGATGATAAATGATTTTTGGAAGTTCAGATATGAAGGTAATAATCTATGGAAGGATTATTCCACATGAATAAGCATTTATATTACAACAGGAAAGGACATACCAAACTATTCACAAGAGACTTACAGTATTGAAATTATAAAATCTGTATTTCCATGAGGAGTAGTGATACTCCTATTTAATGTAAAATAAGTTGCATTGAATTATGATAGAAGTTATTAGCTTCTATTTTGAAAGCTAATTGGATTTGTATTTGTATTTAGGGTTTTTATTTGTAAGGACTTATAAAAAGCATTCTAAATGTCCTTACAAATATTTATCTCTGGTATCTTGAAAAATATGAACTATCATGTTTTTATAAACAGATGCAATTCTTCATTAAGTTCTTGCTGAATTTCTGTGAATTCCATAAAACTCCAAATGCAATACCATATAGATTTTCTAGTCTACCAAGGAAATAGGAGAGCCAAGCTCAGTCAAAGTAATCACACTGCAGTCACAGCAGCCTTCAGTTTTTTTGGAATTGTTTACTTGGCAACTTTTTTGTAGTTAGAGTCATTTTTGTAGTTAAAGCCTTAGTTGTGATATCTGTATTTTTCAGGATTGCAGGTCCCTGACAGGTTCATGAGAAGTTAACTCTGCATGGAGGTTTAGATTATGTGAAGTGCTGTGGTCATCAAACTGTTCCAACATCGGGGGACTGGCATTGATTTTCTCCACTGGCCATGTGTACATGTTCTATATTGTATTAATGCAAATATCTGCATTCCTGGGCTTCCAAGATGGGCTTGAATGCCTTGCTATATGTACATGGAAAACAAAATTTTAAAACTCTTCTGGAGTTTGGAAGCTGAAAATGTTGGTCCCATTGAGAATGTACCAAAATACATTTGGTAGCTGGCCTGTTGTGGCAACTTGAAATGTGGATACAGATAACCCAGAAATCTGGTGGACAGTCTTCACATAAAACCTGAAAATCTGATGGTCAGATTCAAGCTGGAATTCACTGCCTGCCAGGCTTAAACTAGAAAGTCTCATCTCACTGAACAAACTGACTTCCATTTTATTGCAGGTGCTTTCAAGATAGAGGTGATTTTCTCTGAAGAGCTCTCCTTAGAATCTCCTGTGCTGATTCTTGTCAAGCAAAATAAAGATTCAGTATTTTGCTTGAAAGGATTAATAAGCTTGGATTTGTGGCACATGTCTGCAAAAATATTTGCATGTGTTTGTTTTATATTGTGTCATTGTGAAATAACGTATTTGTAACCTGTGCAGTTAGTCAAGTGAAGAGTCATGGAGAGCATTTAACTAATAAAATCCATTTATTGTTTCACCTTTGAATTGCTGGGAAAATATAATTTCTGTAAGTGCCCTGATAGTTAAAGCTAATGTCTGAAAACACAAGAAAAGTGAGTTACACATCACTAAGTATAAACATGATGTGAATTTTGCTACTCCTTCCACAGGTGTTTTCCATTAGAATATGTCTGCCACATTCAGACCTATTTTAAGTAAATTCACAAGGAAATGCCTCTTTGCGTGTTTTTCCTGGAAGAGCAGATAGGTGTTTTACTTTATAAAGAGGTCTGAAAGTTTTCTATTCTTCAAAAGAAAAAATATTTCTCAGAACATAGTATTGCAGTTTGGTAATGTATTTCTAGGTGCCATTAGAGACACTTAAAATTAAAACATAATAAAATTTGTGAAACAGAAATAACTGTTTCCTAGATATGCTGGTGAAATGGGGATTTGCCTACTTAACTGTGCAAAAATTTACGTTTGTTATATATACTTATATTAATATAAAACTATACAGTAACACTTTCCTCTTTGTGATCTTGTGAAATGTTATTACATTGATACTGCACTTTCAGGTTCTAATAGATCATCTCTTAAATAACGTGTAAAAAAATGTACTTGCTAGCAATTATATCATGACAAATATGTAGCATCAATAATTTCCAGCAATAATTTTTGGTCTTGGGAAACAGCTTAGCTCTTAGAGACAAAACCCATATCCTGCAAATTCTTTGCTTGATACAGAGAAAAAAAAGTGGATAGTGATTTTGAACAGTTCTCTATCTGCTTATAGAATATGCGATCAATTCAGAGTTCGTTCTCTCCCTGAAAAAAATGTTTAGGATGACAAGAAATTGACAAGAAAGAAGCATTCTCATTTGCTCACATTTCCTGGCTCTCGAGGTCATGATATCACAAATGGTTGAAAGAAATACATTTGTCATCTACACTGTATGTACAACTGAGGTAGTGCAAGACTGATGTAAATTCTGCAACTGGTTAAATGAAATAAAGTGTGGTGTTGCTTAGACCATCTTTATCAACCATCTTTTTATCATCTTTATCAAAAGTGTTGCTTTTAAATACTGATTCATTTTTCAACTTTTTTTCCTAATACTTTTTAGACTGGAAGGAAATATTAATTGTTGAGGAAACTAAGTAGTTGTTATTATTGTAATTTTTTCCATAACATGAAATCACTTAAAGGAGCGCTGTGAAAGTAATTTAACTGAATCTACATTTTAAGTAATTTTGTGAGTAACTACAAGTCTAAGTGTATTGGATTAATTCTTGTTGTCTGTTTTACTCACTGGCTGTGGTCACCAAAATATGAATGTTTTCTCTCAATAGCATCAGCGACTTCTTGATATTTTGGAAGCAGAAAAGGAAGTGTTGTCAGAAAAGATAGAAGAAGCTATGATGCAGCAATCACAAAAGCACAAGGTATTGCTTTTTTTTCCCAAAAAAGTAAGAGATCAGCATCTTGGGGTTTTTGGGAATGATCCTGTCACAGTTACTGACAGGAAGAGGAAACTTTCTTAAGAACTTTGACTATTCTAAATTATTTTTAGCCACTCCTTTATTATCTATTTCAGTTTAATTTTTCATAACATTTGCAGGAAGTGCTTGACAAATGTTTGGATGAAGAAAGACAGAGAAGCAAGGAGGCTCTGGCAGCTGCTGCAAAGGTATCTCATTAATTGTGCAATGTGGATTCCATGTGTGTCATTAGAAATGCCAAGTTCAGACGCTCACTTTTGTTTCATAAGTATATTTATCAAGCTCTGTGTTCTCATCTGTGTTTAGAAGAAGCTGGTTCTACTGAAAACAAACATCTACTGTATCCCATGCCTTGATACAGAGATGCAGCTTCCTTCTCCTGGATGATAGCCTCTGAATTGTTTATGACAAGAAGTCACAATATTGCAGTTCAGTTCTTGCTGTTACCTAAATATCTGTTTTTGTGGTGTTTCAGCATCAGTGTATCTTGATTTGAAGAGCTGGGTAGCAACTGATGATCTTAATAAGACAATTACGTCATGTCTTATTTAACTTTCATTGAATATGGTCATCTTCAATGAGGAGAGAACTATTCTTAAAATCAAATACAAACAGAGATGTGGTTACTGCATATATAAGCTGATGTTTGACTAAAAGTGACTATTCAGTTTTTAAATATGAATTCTCCTGTCTATTTCATTAGTAAGTGCATTGATGTTAGGGCAATAATTCTGTAAATGTTAAGCTAGAATTAATTTTTAATACTGAGGTAGAATTCAGTACAAAAGTTCAGTTGCATGTAATGATCTGGGAAAGCTAGTGGTGTGTATTACCTAGCACAGTTCATCAGGCTATATTATAATTTTCTGTATGTCTTTTTTGTGTAGTATATGAACACTGGCTGAGCACCTCACTGAATAACATTCAGTAGTACCACAAACACTTCTTATGTGGTTGATATCTACAAGAAAATGTATGCATAATAAAACGTCCTAATTTAATTATTATACTTTTAATATCTAAGTGGAAAATCAGGTTCCAGTGAATTGAAAGAAACAGCTTTATTTGGAAGTGTAGGTATCTGATGAATACAGTATTTTTTGCTTTTTATGACTTGATTTGGCTATTTCCATATCACCTCCAAGGGGCATAGAGATGACCTATAAGCTTATTAAAACTGAGGGATTTGTGATTAAGTTTTGTCAGCCCACATTTGCTTATTTTGAACTTCAGTTTGCCATGATTTATTTGTAGATATTATGCAGTGGTTGTCTTGCTGATGAATATATTTGTGTGGCTACACATGTATGGAGCTGTTGGCTTCAAATTCTCAGGAATTTCAGATAATGGTTGAATATAATGATTGGGGGAGAAACTAAAACAGTACTTCTTGTAGCATGGCTAAGGAGCTTTGGGAGGGAAGACACATTTGTTTTAACTATACAGGTAAAATATATACTGTTTGTATATTGGCTGATTATCTACAGAAAATGCTGGGGCAGTTTTTGCATTTCAGGTATTTGTAGGTAAGGACAGGAATTTCTTACATGGGAATTTCAAGGGAGGCCCATGATGTGCCTACTCTTGCATGGGTTTTGCTGCTTTTTCTTTTGAGTTTTTTTGTTTGTTTGTTTGTTTTGGGGAGTTTTTTTGGGCGTTGTGTGTGTGTGTTTTAAGCAAACTAGTAATTGCCCAGAGGTAACACCTGCTTGGTAGCACTGTAAGATAAATTGAAATTCATAGCTGAGAAGTGAAAATATTCATATCCTATATCTTGTCAGCTCATAGACCTCATTAGAAGAAGGTGATATATATGAATTAGTCATTCAGGTTGGGTGTGTTGCTCATCTAATTGTGCCTGATCTGTTTCACAGGCTGAAAAAGAAGTAGTACAGGAAGCTGTTCTGAAAGCAGTAGAGGAGGAGAGGAGAAATATGGAGAAGATTCATGCAGAAGAAAGAAAACTCTGGGAAGCAGAACGTGATAGTCATCGAGAGAAGATTGCCCAGGCTGTTTCAGCAGCCATGCAAGAGCAAAGAAAGAAGAATCAGGTTAGTATGTTTTACCCTTCCATGCACCTGGATTGTATATTTTTGTTTTTACTTTTGAATGTCTTCTGTTGTGGTAGATTTTCCTGTGACGTCTGTCACTCAGTTGGTATTTGCAATGCACAGCAAGCAGCTTGTCTTCAGCTGGACTGTGTGTATGGAGAGAGGCTGGCACATACAGAACAAAATTCCTATGACCTTTCAAGATACATATATTGAAATGATATAAATCATGGCTGGCTTTGTCCTCTGACTTCAAAAGGAGCCCAGGACGAGCAGCTCAGAGAGTGGCATTTATGCTGTAAACAGTTTAGATGACTTCCACCTGTGGGCGACTGAAGATGTTACATTTGTTCCTTCTAGAACAGGAACAAAATAAAGAAGGAAATTATAAAAACTAGAAACTGTAACCAGTAATGGACCAGAAATGTTTCTAGAGTTAATCACTACAGAGGTGCTTCTATGACAATAATTGTATGTCACTTAACACAAATTGAGACAGAAATTCCCGACAGTGCTTTTAGCACTTTTTACAAATTAAATATATTAGCAATTAAATTACTCTTCCAAAAGTTGAATTTTGTGGTCCGTGATGCTGGAAATATTTGGAGGAACTGCCTGTGAATTCCCTGATTTTTTTGGTGACATATTTGAATGTTATAGTCTTCAGAAATTTAAGGAGTGTATCTTTCATTGGTTCTTTGGAATTTGATGTTGCTGCATTTTTTTATGGGCTGCATAAAAAAAAACCAACGAAACTTAAGAATTTGAAGGAAAATAAAAGTGCTCTTTGGAAACAGATACCATTTCTCTTTCCCGTGTTAAACAAAATTAATCACCTCATATACCTAATCAGCTACCAAAAAATAAAGTTGATGCTATGCCATTACCATATTCTGTATTGCCTGAATTCCTAATGTAAATAGAATGATTTAATTTTTTATATCTTCTTTACTTCTTTTAAATGTAAAGTATCAAATGGTGAAATGTCAATTTTCAAGACTTTCCATGAGCCTTCAGGCAGTCAAACTCTTCTTCAGAACAGAAGGATGAACAGCTGAGTTAAAAGCTGAATTCAAGCTGAGAACAACTGCTTGGGTTTTAGTTAGATAAAAATCATTCAGACTGTCCAGAATGAAAACTGGTACCAGGGGTGTAGAGAACCTGTTCCTGGAAGGAAGGGTGATAAAAGTGCTTATTTATTGGAGTAAAGACAGCAATTTTATAGCCTGTGGAACATGAAAAGATTAGAAGGAAGATTATGGTAATGAAGTTTGAGAAGGGCTTTGATGGACCCTGAAGCTTTTTGGTGAAATAGTCCCATGGCTGGGTGCTGGAGTTCAGCCAGTGTTCTGTATTTATGGGTTTGGGAGAGGTGCACTAAGCTGGGGTAGCAATTTGGAGTGGGTTTGCCTTCACTCTGCAGGGTGCTGCAGACTCTCTCATGGTTGATGTTGCCTTTGAAGTTGTCACAAGACAGGATGACATTAGAAGTGGTTTAATATTGATGGATATATTCTTTGATAAAGTCCTAATTGCACTGCCATGTCAGCATTTCCCCGAGGAAGCAATTCAGGCCTCTCCAAGGGACAAGTTTTTCCTCTCAAGGTTCTTTTAGATCAAGTAGTTCCCATTGTGGAAGTACCTAGTGATGTATTTGTGATAGTGAGCAGCACTGCAGTGTTCGAGGCTCTTGTGATTAATTCTACTGTAAATTTCTTGCACTTTATGTAGTCCTTTAGTAGTGTCATTAGTTAATTCAATTTTTTTTAATACCAAACAGCTCTGACAACTTTTATTGTAACAGGAATAATTTCTTTTATTTGGTTAAAATATGATTATTTCACCTTCATGTCAGGTTCATTTTTCAAATAGCTAATCTATTTTTAATTAAGGAAAAATGCAGATTTTTCTTGAGATTTCCAAAATTCTATCATATATATCTATGGTATATATGAAGTTACACTCTTTATTCTCTAATTAATGAGTACAGATTCCCTAGGGAGGATGGACTTACACGGAGAAATTGATTTCTTGGAGAAATTTTCCTTTCTTCCTATGCCAAGAAGCTGCATATCTCCTTTAGGCCATTGAAATTATAAGCATACATCAACTACTAAAATTTTCTGCCAACAAAAGTCCTGCAAAGCTGATGTGTCACATGATAACTCATATGTGGTGTCTGATACAGCTTCGGTTTAACAATGAAAAACTCTTGGGCCTACAAGGCACTTCGTGTGTGGGCATTAATTTTTTCTGTGTAGAGCCTTCCACACAAAGTTGTTTCTTATTTATGTTTTGTTTTCTGTAAGGTTTGTCTTACAAAAGCTGTAGCTGCACTCTTGACTCTCTTGCAGTTATTATTTAGGCAATACATTAAGTCAGCTCTGTAATAGTCAAAATGTAAACAAAGAGTCTAACATTTCAGACAATGAGATGTAAAAAGTCCTAGAATAAAATGTTCTTTTGCTGCGAATTATTTCAAAGGGATTTGCTGTATTGATTTGAAATAAAAAAAATTAAAACTGTGGCAACACTGTATCTGTAAAACATTTGAATTATGAAAATGAGGAAAAATAAATTTACATGTCAAAGTGGAATGAATTTGCTGGCTTTTCCTTTACCTTCTGGACCAGAGAAGCATGATTTTGGGCTTTGATTCGTTGGTTTAAAAGAGTAATTTTTCATCCATTAATTTTCTTTATTAAAATAAAATATGCTGGTTTTTTTCACCTATTTTTAAACACATGCACTAGAAGTTATATGGCTATATATGAGAAAGAAAATGGAAAAAAAATTAAAGTATGGGCTGCTTACATGTCATTGGTTAGGCAATCTTAGGACAAGAACAATAAGGGTTTGAAGATCACACTTGTGCTGAATTAGGTGGTGCAATTTCCCTTCATCACCTAAATAATTTGTTTAAAAGAAGAAAAGATGAGTATTTCCTTTGCAGGGATGATACAGGTATTGTTTTAAACTTTTTTGATGGTGTTGTTGCAGAGTGACCAGGATGGAGACCCATAGGAGATGCAAATTTGGGAGGTTTATACAGGTGCCTTCTACTTGTGAGATATTCATGCTTGACAGAACTTTGTCCTAAAAAAAAGTTTATTCTCTGTCAAATCGTTGTCAAGTCTGCAGATAAGGAAATGCTATTTCCGTTTAGGATTTATTATACTAATTTAACATTGTCAGAGAAAAATTGGGAGACTTAGAGACAATTTAATAAATAAATCATATTTAGTATCAAGTATTTTGTTACCAAAGATGAAACAGCAGAGTAAAGTAAACTTACAATGAAAGTTTAGTGAAAGGAACTAAGTGAAAGGAACTAAGACATACTGAATTAATGTTTCAACTTGGTGGAGCAACCTTGATATACCCCCTTCTGTTTATTTTCTTTAAGAAATTAAAGGATTATGGTAACATGAATATTGTTTTGGTTTTTGTTTTTTTTTTAAAGAAAGCTTTTTGTGAAAGCTTTGACTGTTCCAGTGACTCGGGGTCTTAGAGACATGGTATTTGTACTTAAAATAAAGGTATTATTTTTTTAAGCCTCATAACTCTGAAGGGATAAATGAGAGATTTTACAACACCAGGGAAATGGAAAAATGGTTTTTTAGAGCATTCTCTCCAGGCTATGAAGTAGTAAAAGTCCAGATGACTTCCATTTCGGTCTAGACTGGCAGCATCTTCAGATTTTATAACTGTGTTATTCAGGTGCTTCGTGGTTTTGTAAGAGTTTTTTGTTTTGTTTTCTTTTGTTTTGTTTTGTTTTGTTTTGTTTTGTTTTGTTTTGTTTTGTTTTGTTTTGTTTTTATTTAGAAGAGTATTCTCAGTTTGGGGGATGAGCAGACTTGCACTTTAAATCAGGAAGAACAAGCTCTCCTTGAAAAAAACAAGTAGTCTTTTGATTAAAGATAATGTTCATTTGCACAGGAACCTCGTGATCCTTTTACAACACATTGAAAAGTCATCATAGATTAGGAACTCATCTGTTCTGGAGACTAGAGGTAGCTTGGCATGTCTCCAGTATTTTCTTTTCTGTTTTTCATTCATTCTCTGGCGTGGCATCTTCCCTGTAAGGAGAGTTTAATGTCTGGTAGTTGTCAGTGTTGAGAGGAATACCTGGTGAAATTCCTCCACTACAATTTTTCTTTTCTAGAACACCTATTTAAATAAAAAGTGGATATCCTCTAGAAACTATAACAGGTAGCATGGTTGAGACAGAAGCATTTTACTCCAGAATTCAAAATTGCACTGAAGCTCCTGAGGTACAACTCTAAACTGAAAAAAAATGGACAATTCTCTCTATCCTTTTTTACATTTATTTTTAATCATTGAAAAACTGAAGTCCAAACATTCTTTGGGGATATAGGATGATGATACCCACACAATTCTGAATAAAGGCTGCTATATTAAACTTATAATTAGTGGGGAGTGCAGGTTAGCTCCCATAGCTAGAATGCACAGAGCTCTCTGCATGGCAGTTGTTATCACTTCATAGAGCTGAATACTCAGCTACATAAAGGAGGTGAAATCTATGGTGGTGTGGGAGAGAATTAGCAAAAGAAACTGAAGGGAATTTATGCAACACTATTTTTGTTTTAAAATGAATTCATTAAAAGTAAAATGAAAGCTGGCAGCAGCAGAGTGAGCCCTGGAAATTTAAGTCCATCTCATAGCTTGAAATAAATAATTCTGCTAAGGCATTTGAAGCAAAGAATCACCTTTGTCATTTCCTGAAGGCTTAAATTCAACATACTGTATATAATCTAGTGTAGTTTATCCTAATTCTCTAGGGAAAAAGAGCCTGAGTTCATCTCTGCCATAATCCACACAGCAGATCCATTAGAGACTCAAGTGTTCTGAAGGCTGCAAATATTTAGGAAAGGGAAAAAAAAAGGAAGAACCTTTAATTTATTAAAAGAACTAACATAAACTCTGCTTCCTCTTGGACATGAGGAAAAACACTAAGGCAAAATTATCTTACCAATGGG